GGATTACAAGTGTATGCCGTCACACCAACCCAGTGGTCAGGTTTATATTCCATTCTTTGATACACTCTAAAATTGAAACTTCAGTTTTCAGAGCTATCAGGAAATCCTGAGCCCTGAGTAAATAGATGAACTTCTGTGAACAATGAAACACTCCCACCTTTTATTGTAGTGTGAGTTTGAATTTAACAACTTCCTGCTCAGATTTTTTTATCATGTCTGCATTAGGACTCAGTTCAGTCTCACTGTAGACTTGTCTAACATTAGGCAGTGGGACTTTCTGTAGCCTTCCCCCTTTACATCAGGGCTGTTGTATTTTTGACCCTTTTGTGACTGCCTGGCTGTGTGCTTTAAAAGCTGCACCTCTTCCCCAGGGCCCTTTCTTTCCTCATTGTAGGTGTTAGGTGGAGCTGCTGTGATGGCAGTGGGAGGGAGCAGAATAAAAGCAGAAGCAAAGTTGAAGGACGTACAGGAAACCCACAGCACTTGAGCCTGACCCGTGTCCAAAGTAATAAAACAGTCTGACCGCAGCTTGGAGCAGATACAAATTGGACTGATTGAAACAGAAAATAAAAACATGCACTGGAGAGAAGGATTTAGAAGGGATACCCCTGATCTCTAAATTAATAGAATTTTTTGTTTGTTTGTTTTTTTCCAGACGGGTTCTCTGTGTAGCTTTGGAGCCTATCCTGGAACTTGGTTTGTAGACCAGGCTGACCCCAAATTCAGAGAGAAGTTGGGTTTTTGTTTTATTTTTGTTGTTATTGTTTTGGGGGGGTGTGGGGGGGTTCCAGACAGAGTTTCTCTGTGACTTTGGAGGCTGTTCTGGAACTAGCTCTTGTAGACCAAGCTGGTCTCCAACTCACAGAGATCCACCTGCCTCTGCCTCCCGAGTGCTGGGATTAAAGGTGTGTGCCACCACCGCCCGGTGTTTTTTGTTTTGTTTGTTTGTTTTGTTTTTTAATGCAAGAATAGAGTCATTCTTGCCAAATGTAATAGGAAAGGTTAAGTATTTGGTCCCATTTTCCTTCCTGGATAAGTCTGTTTTGAAAACACAATAGCAGAAAAAAGGGACCCAATTTCCAGCCCAACTCCTAAAAGTGAGTTCTGGAGCAGGTCTGGAATAGGATAAACATTTGCTGATGTTTTGTAGGTCCAGTGAATCATGGTGGGATCTTCAGTGTGCCCTTGGCACTTGGGGTCGCTGTACTAAGTACATACTCATGGTTAAGCAAGGCCCTTGTGTTGGTACTTGGTTGTACCTTGGGGAGAGTCAGAACTCCACATCTGGGCTCCTGGCACACATCTGCCATATGCATTTTTTAGTGTGAGGTTATACTCAGTCTTGCTTTGTCTGTGTGTGTGTGTGTGTGTGTGTGTGTGTGTGTGCGCGTGTGCTTGTGATAAGATAGCTGGAGACAGTTTGTAAGTGGGGTGTGAAGAAAGCAATCTTGGAAGCCCCTCTCTGACCATCCCATGTTAGAGTTGGCATCTCTTTTTAAGGAATGGGTTTTACTTTTGAGTAGGGAATAAAGATGCTTAGAGCATAAGGTGATGATCTTAACAAATACAGGCCAGGTTTGCAGGCACCATACACATGTGATCCTAGCACTTGGGACGTGGAGATGGGATCAGGGTCTTGTTTCAGGGATTTATCCTCAGCTAAATAAAGAATGAGTTTGAGGGCAGCCTGGGATGCATGAGACCCTGCCTGGATTTAAAAAAAAAATAATAATAATTTTTATGTTTTTTTTATTAGCACACATTAATTATATAAAGCAATTGGCTTTTATTCTCTTTGTTGAGACAGGGTCCCACTCTGTAGCCCTGGCTGGCCTGGACTAGCTACATAGAACAGGCTGACGTCTAAATCAAAGAGCCTCCCTCTGCCACCCTAGCACTGGGATTAAAGGTGTCCGCCACCACACGCAAACACAATGGGCCCCTGTGTATAATATCCATGACATTTTTATTCATTTATATAATGTATTTTGGTCATAATCATCCTACCCCCACCTAAATGTCACTCATTTTACTGCTTGCTGTTTTAACCATAAACCCCACGGAGACTCAGCAGCTCTCCCTAAGGTAGGCAAATATGTCTGCACTGAGTGCCTGCAGTGTCTACAAAGGCCAGAAGAGGGCACTGGATTACCCTGGGACACCTGAGCTGACCACAGGTGCCATCTGAGCCATCTCTCCAGCCTTCAGGATTTATTGTTTTTATGTTAAGACTGGCAGCCCCTTTACTGTAGTGATGCCCACCTCTATTCATGAGTGCACATTTGCTGTCATTTTCAGTAATTGGCATAATTGCTTTATACCAAATAATTGGTCTATCAATTAATGTTTGATTTGTATTCTTATTTTCTTTACTCAGTACTCACTCAGTATTGTGTAGAAATTTTCCTGTCTACAGTCACAAGCAGAAAAGTTTAAAAAATGCAGCAGAGTAGTTGAGATGTGATCAGTGGCTGTGTAGAAGCAGTGGCCCAGCATGTACAGTATTGACACTTCCACTGCAAGAGGGCCTCTTGCAGAAACCCAGGGCATTATCCATATACTAGTAAATCTTTATCCAAATTCAAAATCTTCAGCTTTTGTAAACTGACAGACAACACGCATACATATTTATTCATTAAATTTATGATTGAATGCCCCCTATGGAGCTGTGGACCATCTTCTGTTATTGCCTCATCTAATCTTTATAGATTATTAATCATCAGGGATCACATGCTTATTGAGACTAGACCTATTAAGGTGTGTGCCATGGGTGTCTGCAGAGACCAGAAGAGGCGGCAGATGATCTGGAGCTTGCTTTTTACAGGCAGGCGTGTGCCACCCCGTGTGGGTTCTGGGAACTGCATCCAACTCCTCTGTGCTCCTGTGTCCATTCAGCCCCTGGTCTAATGCTGTGGCGTCCCCAAACTGATGTGTGGTCCTTATTTATGTGCAGTGTTAAAATGAACTTGGTTTTCAGGTGGAAGGTTGTGAGAAATACCATTTTTGGAAGTTTATGAAAAGCTCTTGATAATTACAGACTTTTTTAGTATCACAAATCAGAGCCAACACATACCTCCTGAAGGTATTGTTAACATCTTTTCTATGTGTGCAATTTGAGGCCACTTGGCTGTATCAGGAGAAGTTGACAGAGAAGGTAAATGTAAAGGGGGGTTTGATACTAGATAAAATGCCAAGTGCAAGCTTAGCAAAAACTAGTAAGATACACATAACTTTTGCGAGTGGGGACAAGAACTGGTGTGAAGCTCAGTGAGCAAGTAAGCGCAGTGAGGTGGAAACATTGGATTAACTGACACTAAATTGTGGAAACAGAAGGCTAGCGTGGTTTCAAGAAGAGAGGCTTTCCTGGCTGTTACAGAGTTCGTGAATGTTACTCTGAGCCAGGGGTATGGCACTTGACTGTGATCCCAGTACTTTGGAGGTAGAGGCAGGAGGATCACGAGTTCCTGGTCAGCTTTGACTCCATAGTGAAACCCTAACTAAGAAAAAAAAGATACAGCTTTGGAAGAAGGAGCAAATAAACTTGATTTCTAAGGCTATTGTAAATTGGAATTTAAAGACAGGTGTGGGCTAGCTTAAGAGAGTGGGTAGCTGTAGGATGGTGGGAATTTTTTCTGTAGACCTCAGGACTGGCACCTGAAGCTAATTACAGTATTAAATGTAGCAGAGAGAACACATGAAATGTTTTAACTTATTGGCAGTATTAGATCTGTAATTAAAATGCCAATAAAATTGGTAGTACTAGATCTATAGTAAATGTGATGCTAATAGGGCTACAATTTCTAAAGGATTCTTAAAGTTACATGGGAGGCCTGGCATGATGTTCTACGTACATAATCCCAGCATTTGGGAGGGGAGCAGGAAGATCTGGAGTTTGAGGTCATCTTTGGCTGTACAAACAGGTTAGGTCCAGTCTGGGTTACACGGGACCCGGTTCCAGAAACAAGTTATATGAGAGAGCAAAACTGAGCCCATTAAGTTTATGTGGACTAAATAAAGTAAATTAATTTGGTCTTGGACAAGTTTAGGAAGATTATTTGAAAAGAAGCAACGTATACTTGAGGATGAACAGGTAGCTTTGGGTATACCACAGAGGAGAGAGGTGCGTATCTTTGGAGAATTTATATTTAGGGACCTTGGCATTCTATAATTCTAGGACATACTGGTGTTTGAACCTTGAATTTTGCTATAGCTGTGCTTGATGACGACATATCTGCTAAAAGGGTTGTATGAGTGTAGCAGAGTCCCGAGAACACCAGCTGGCATGATAAAGACAGGTAATTGAAAACATTGCAACCTTTCAGTTTTCAAGGGTTATGACCCCAGAGATGAGAAGATAGGAATAGAGTTGGATATGGTGGTGCAGGAACTTAAAGAACGTTTAGCAGTGTCTAAAAGTGAGGCTCACAGGTAAACTAGGAGTCTAACCTAGCTCACTGCCTGGTCTCGGAAGGCTCTCAAGCTACAGATTGCTGTTACACTTTTAGGTGGTGGAGAGGACAGAAGACTGTTACTTAGTAATGATTGACAATTACATGAACATCTGATTTTTCTTAAAGCCCATTCAGCTTACTGGGCCATGGGTGTGTCTGAAGCTATCAGTTGTCTAGGCTGCTTTTACTTCACAGAGCCAGTGGGTGCTCCAGGATCTAAACTGTTTACTCTCTCTTTATAGGGAAAGTTTGCAACCCCTGGGATCAGCTAATGAAATGAGCGTTGTTTTTTCTGGAACAGAAAGGCTATAGTGACTGGAATAGAAACGTTAAGAGTACAAAGAGATTGTTTATATAAATGGCACCAAGCAGCTTGATAGTCTGTTACTTTTCTGTCCAATTCAGAAGCCATTGGCCTCCTGTGACCATTTACATTTAACTAGCATTAAATAAAGTTAAGAATTCAGTTTGTTCAGCTACAGTGACCAACCACATTCTAAGTGGCCAATAGCCTCAAGTGGCCCAGGGCTGCCGAATCCAGCAGTGCAGATGACGAGCGTTGCACCATTCCAGTTGTATTGGACACTGCTGCACAGCAGTCAGCCCTTAGACACAGGAGAAAAGAACCTGCCTAGACACCCAGCGGTGGTCAGGGTTAGGGTGTAAGCCTTGACAGCCCAGTTTCCCAAGACAAGGTTGAGAAAGGCTGTTCCTAATGATAGCTCTATGTGATAGCAACGTAGGTCTGTGGATCTTGAAACTGAAGACCTAGAAAGTCATATAGATTATAGTAACTCATTCCTTGGGAGAAATCTGCAGATGAAACTGAATTAGATTTTTAGAGAACTTTCATTATTGGACCTTAAGAATTTGAGTTCAGTATGTATTCCTAACAATGTTAGTGAAAATTCTTTTGATCAAGTAAACCATCAGCTAGAAGTTTTGCCTTCACAACGGTTGAATGTATTTATCTTTAATTACTCAAAACATTCTGTGATACTGAAATGTCATGTCTCATCAAATTGACCAGTGGTATATTTTTATGCAAAGAGACTCATGGAGGGTGGAGCCATTGTGGCTGTTGAGTTGCTATTTCTTAAGTAAAAGTATAGAGTTTGCCTGTGAGACTATATTTACAAAGGCTAATATGTTTAGGACTTTAACAGGTGAACACAGTAATTTTATTAGACTCTACCCATTTGTGGTATCAATCTTTTTTTCTGTGTTAGCATTGTGTTAGTCACTGTTTAGAATACTTTGTAAATGGCAACAAGTAATCTAACATAGCCCTAAAAGATAAATATTACCACCATTGGCATGTTAAATAATTTGACCTAAATTGCACAGTTTATAGGCAATTGCACAGAGTTTGGAACCCAGGCAGTCTGGCTTACAATCTATTCTTGGATCTGCTCTGTTTTACTGTTCCCCTAGTGACAGTGTACTTAACTGTTAGTTTAATTTCAAGTTTTTCTTCTTATTAGTGGGGGAGAGGCAAAGGTATAGAATTCAGGGACAATTCTCAGAAGTTGATGGGATACTGAACTGAGGTGCCAGGCTAACACAGAGAGCAGGTTTACCTGCTGAGTTGTCTTGTCGGCCTTGTTGGCCTGCAAATTGCACATTGCATGTCTTGTTTTGCTTTTTTGGCGAGTGGGGGTGTTAGCAAGTATTGAGCACTGGTGAAATCAGAATGGTAGTGTGGCTTTATGCCATTCTTGGCAGCCTCTTGCTCTCATCTTGAGGTAGCCACAGCAGTCTTAACGAAGGTACTTGTCCTAACTATCTCTTAATTTTTGTTTAGCACCAAAAATATTTGAGTGCACAGATGGCTTCCTGGGAAGCTTCACCTGTGTCTAGGAAAGGTTTTGAAAGCTTTAGTAGGAAGATGCCTCTCAGTCCATGTTTCCTAAAAAGTTAAGTTGGTGTTTCTCCCTCTCCTCTGTGTTGAATTTGATGTGGTTCTTGTACACTGCTTCACTGTTGCTAACTGTAGTGTGCCATTCTCAGATTGATCACAACTGTCCTCCAGCGTTAGACCATGTGGTCATCTCCTGACTGGCTAAGAGTACACATATATATATGCATGGGATTATATTCACAGTGTACTTGATGATTGAGACAACCCAACCACTGTGGCAGCATTTCTTGGTTGCAGTGTGTTCTAAAGGAGAAATTGCTGATTTTTTTTTTTTTTTTTTTTTTTTTGAGACGGTTTCTCTGTAGCTCTGGCTGTCCTGGAACTCACAGAGATCCACCTGCCTCTCCCTCCAAGTGCTAGGATTAAAAGTGTGCACTACTTTATAAGAGATGTATTTTTTTATTTAGGATTATGTGCGTGCCTCTGTGTGTGTGTGTGTGTGTGTGTGTGTGCACTCTAAGAGGCTAGAAGAGGGCATCCAGTTCTCTAGAGCTGGAGATACGGCTGTGAGCTGAACTGGTAGGGGTGCTGGGTACTGAACTCTGGTCCTCTGCAAGAGCAGCACACCTTCTTAACCATCTCTCCATCCCCTAAAAATAGAAACTGCTCTCAGTGCTGTAGAATGAAGTGCCGAATTTGGAAATCAAGCTTTTAAAAATAATGAGATAAATGCTTTTCAAAATACCTTATTTAGCTGGGCATTGGTGGTACATGCCCTTAATCCCAGCACTCAGGAGTCAGAGGCAAGTGGATCTCTGTGAGTTCAAGGCCAGCTTGGTCTACAGAGTGAGTTCCAGGACAGCCAGAGAACATAGAGAAACCCTGTCTTAGAAGAAAAAAAAAATACCTTATTTTGGAAAATTTAGAATTTAAGAAGCATTAGAAATATTGGAGACACCTACATCTGTAAAAGTTATATAGCTATGTTATAAATACATACAATTCATTAATTGAATATTTATGAGAGAATGGCTTCATAGTTGGAGCATGTAGCATCTTGTGAAGCATGACCTGTGTCTGTCTTCAGAGTTCATGTTCTAATCCCATGCTTACTCATTTCAGGCTGAGATAGAGCTGTTCGTTAACCGGCTTGACTCCGTGGAATCTGTTCTTCCTTATGAATATACAGCGTAAGTTTCCAACCTGGTTTTTGTATAAACTTTTTTGTGGTGCATCAGAATTTTTGTGTGCATAACTTAATTTCTCTACAGAAATAAATTTGTTTTCATTTCCTAAATGCATAGGGCCTGAAGATTTGGGTAGAGGTGGAAGAGACAGAGTCTCTCACTCTGTAGCCCTGGCCGACTTCAAACTCTTGGCATATCTACCATCTCAGCCTCTCAAGTGTTGGGGTTGTAAGAATACACTGTCATACCCAGCTCAAAAACACTTTGAGATAAAACATGCTGTTCTGTGGCTGAAGAGATGACTTAGTAGTTCAGAGCATGTGCTGCTCTCCCAGCTCAGTTTCCTGCACCCACATGGTGGCTCACAACTGCCTAGGACTCCATTTGTCCCCTTTGGGCGCCTGCACACACAGACAGAAATTCTGCTTGAAAAAAAATGGGCTGTTCTTTCTGTGTTGCTCTGCAGCATAACAGATGCATAAATGATTTTCCTTTTTTATGTGAGTCTAAAAAGATGTAATATTGTTCTTTATTTTTATTTATGTGTATGTTTTGCACCACACACATGCCTGGTTTGGGGCAGAATAAGGCATCAGATCCTCTGGTCTGGGAACAGAGATGGGTGTGAGCACCATGTGGGTGCTGGGACTTGAACCAGGTCTTTCCTGAGAAAGAGCTGAGCCATCTCTCCAGCCTCTCTCTTGTTTTGTGTTTTGTTTGTTTGTTTGTTCTTTCAAGACAGGTTTCTCTGTGTAACATCCCTGGCTGTCTTAGGAGCTCACTTTGCAGACCCGGCTGGTCTTGAACTCACAGAGATCCGCCTGCCTCTGCCTCCTGAGTGCTGGGATTAAAGGTGTGCACCACCACCGTCTAGCTTGTTGTAGCTAATTAATTCAAATCTTCCCGTAGGATGACATTTCCACAAGATGTACCGATTTATACTTACCTCACCCAGCTGTGGTGGCTGGGAGAACTCAGAATGGTGAACAAGAATACTCAGTCACCTTGTGATTCTCTCCTATAATTTCCATGTATTACAAGTCAGCTTTAGTGACACTCTGCTTCAGTGTGGCAGCCCGATTTCAGTTTTGCCACAGAAAACCGTAGGGCTTTCTGTGTTCACTGTGAATAGTGCGGGAGTAGGTGAGACTCGTTCCATGATGGTGACAGGATAGTAAGATTCCTAAGAGGAAGGTGAACTTCAAGTGACACAACATTGGTCTTTGCTGCCCCCACACGAAGCTTTGCTCACTGGAACCAAGGAAGAGTCAAGTAGACATGGTGGCTCATTGACAGACACTAGAAAAGGCACAGAGGTCACGGAAGCCCCTGTAAGGTCAGCTCAGGGCTTCTGCCCTCCTTTCTTACATATACTTAGAGAGATTTCTACGGGGTAATACCTTTTTATATGCTTTTCTGTATAGCAAAAACTGTCCTTTAGAACTCTTTGGGCCATGAAGAAAAAAATATTCTTTATTTTATATGCACTGGTGTTTTGCCTGCATGTATGCCTATATGAGGGTGTCAGGTCCCCTGGAACTGGAGTTACAGGCAGGTCTGAGCTGCCATGTGAGTGCTGGGAATTGAACCCCAGTCCTGTGGAAGAGCAGCCAGTGTGTTCTCTAGCTTGAGCAACGGAATCTAGGAACTCTAACAATACAGTGTAAGGATAAGTCTTTCTGCCAGCCGCCCGAGTTCTGCCCGCTGCCATGTTAAGGTCCCAAGTAACACACTGGCTGCATGCATCCTCTCTTGTCCTGCTCACATGGGGGAGGAAGAGAGCGATTTCCTGCTTGTCCCTGCTTATATTCTGAGTCTGCCTGCTATGTCACTTCCTGCCTGGATCATGAGACTTCTCTTTACTACATTTCCCAGAATCCTCCTCGACTCTTTGTCCCTCCTAACTTGCTTCCCTACTGGCCAACAGTACTTTATTCATCAACCAATAAGACAACCATATACACAGGACTTGCCCCATCATCACAGTACTGAAATGATTGCATAGCACATCAAACACTGGGCAAAGTGTGATGCACAAGCCTGACAACCTCATTATTATCAGCTAAGCCCCTGTGACAGTGACAGAGAGCACTGACCCACAACACAGCCACTTTTAAAATGTGCTAATGAAATGCTTATAAATAAGTAACTGGCAAGAGTTGGGCTGCACAGCATCCCCACAAGTTACTAAAGGCTAAAATGACTGCCTGGCAACGTGAAAGATGGGAGAACACCGTTGAGAAAGGTGCGAGTCAAATACACGCTGACTTTTGCTCAAAATAGACTACTATAATTAAACTTCAAGAATAAGCTATAGTGTGTAAATTCTTTAAATCCTTAGATTATATAATAGAGAAAGTGTCTGGTTCTGGTCTGTGATCTTGGGCACTCCTCATTGAAGGAACTGTTAAAATAAGGGATCTCTCGAGACTGTCCAGTGGTTCTTACCTCACCATGTTCATGTTCTTCCCTCAGGTTTGATTTTTGCCAAGCACCAGAAGGAAAACGCCCATCTGAAAATCTTGGTCAGGTATTATTCGGGGAGAGAATTGAACCCTCACCATATAAGGTTTGTATTTAGTTTAAGCTTACTTTATATGTATGGGTGTTTAGCCCAAAAGTGTGTATCACTTATGTGCCTGATACCCAAAGGGATAGCTTGGAACTGGAGTTACTTGTGGTTCTGAGCTGCCTGGGTGCTGGGAGTTAAAACTGGATCCTCTGGAAGAGCAGCGAGTGCCCTTAACCACTGAGCTATCTCTCCAGTCCCAGTAGTAACTTCCAGAAGCCATGGTCGAGTGTCATTGATAGTCTTTCTTACTGAGCTGTCACACAGCTTGTGTGACACACAGTGTAGAGACGTCTGTTCACCTCGAAGCATTCCTTTTCTAGTCATGAAAAGGTTGGTTGTCTATGCTACTTTTTTGTTTGTTTCTGAACAGTGTCTGTAGATTTCCCCTGTTCCCAAGTGTGACATTGCCAAGCCTTCTCTACTGGTATTTTGAGGAGATTTTTTTTAATTTAATTTAAATTTTGGTCTTGGTTTGTTTAGCTTATCTTTGTGTTTGAATCAATTAAAGTATTTTTGAGGGATTTGGTGAAGTGATTTACCATGTACAACGGCCTGGGGTCTGTCCTCAGCAGCACAAAACTAAGCATGGTGGTACAGCCTGTAATGCATCGCTCAGGATTGGAGGCAGGAAGATTGAGTGTCCTCAGAGGCCATCTTGTCTCAAAAACAAGAAGAGTAGCCAGGAGGTGGTGGCGCACGCCTTTAATCCCAGCACTCAGGAGGCAGAGGCAGGGGGATCTCTGTGAGTTCGAGGCCAGCCTGTTCTACAAGAGCTACACAGAGAAACCATATCTTGAAAAACTAGAAGGGGGGGGGGCTTTTGAGGAAGGAAGGAAGGAAAGAGAGGGAGAAGGAGACACACAGGGTGGGAGAGGGAGAGAGAGTAGGAAAGAAGAGTTAGTAACTGCTGTGACATGAGGGTGCAGGAATCTCCCACCAGGAACACACAGCGTTTGGCACAACAGTAAACTGGGAAAGCCAGGGAAAGCCAGGGCCTGCCTCTAGTAGGATCTCACTTTCCACATTCTAAATGTAAGTGAGACTCCTGGGTGCTGGGACTGTTCAGATTTGATCCCTTGTCCCAGGGGTTGAGGAAAAAGTGCAACAGAAGGATACTAAAATGAAGAGAGATACACACCTAATATTTCTCATGTTGTACAGAAACTTTAGGATCAAGGTCTGTGTTAGGCAAGGCAGTGTGGCATTTGTGCCTGTATGGGTACTAAGGGCAGTTCCAGGTTATCCTAAGCCACATAGCAAGGTCCTGTCCCCAAACCAAAAAATGGTAAATTCTTCAATCCCAAGTTTAAAGAGATAAAACATGGTGTTAGGAGAGGAAATTTTTCTTTCCCAACCAGCCATCAATGTATTGAGATCTACACACACACACACACACACACACACACACACACACACACACACACACACACACTCTCTCTTCTGTCTCTGTCTCTCCTTCCCTCCCCCATACTCCCTCCCTCCCTCTCATTTTTTGATACAGAGTTTCTCTATGTAGTCCTGGCTGTTGTGGAACTTGCTTTGTAGACCAGGCTGGCCTCGAACTCAGGTTCACTTTCCTCTGCCTCCTGCGTGCTGGGATTAAAGACATGTGCTGTTACCACCCAGCTAAGCAATATATTTTCATTTCATTTTGATTCTTCTGTACTGTATTTTCAGATATTTTTACCCTGTTTAAATCTGCATTGAAAGCAAAGGTGATAACCAAAGGAGATTGCATATCTGTCACCTGTTTTGCCTCTGTTTTCCTGTGACATCTGTTTAGATCAGGAAAAATATAGCAAATGTAGGATTATAAAACCCCATTCACCTTCATTTGTTTTCTAGGATAAGCATTTGTTGGTTAGCTTCTCTTTGTGTACCCCGGGTACTAGGACAGATGGAGAAGACAAAATAAATCTCTGGATCTTGTGTATTGACGGCAAGGAGACTGGAGAACTAAAGGGTATAGTGTGTCAGTTACTTGGAAAGAACTCCTAAAAAGAAAGCAGAATGTGGACAGAGAATTTGCAATTTTAAATAGGCTTACCCAGATGTGACATTAAAAAATGTAAATTTAAAAAGTCTCGCTGAGAAGGTGACATTTGAATAAAAGACCTTAAAATTAGGTAAGGGAGTAAGCCACAGGAGTGCCTGGGGGAGGTATGTTAAGAGGCAGACAGCAAATGCCAGTCCCCAGGTGTGAACTTACCTGGAATGTTCAAGGTACACAGATAAGCCAGTACAGCTTGAGCAAGTGAGTGATACAGAGACTAGTGAGAGATGAGGGCAAAAGAGTAACGGGGCTGTGTTACACAAGGAAATAGTTCAGTCGTAAAACACTTGCTAGCATGCTTGCCACCCTGGGTTCAACCCTTGACACCATCAGAAACGATAGGGACGAAAACTTTGGGCCCTTTACATCTGAAAATTGGCGATTTTTGCATCAGCTTGGGTCTTACCAGTTACTCACTATGGGGTAAGTTGAGAACAGACTAGGAGTGTGAGGAGAAAAGCTGAGAGATCAGGTAGGCGATTTTATAGCCATCCAGGTGGGACTTTAGACCTTAGGGGCCTCTAGGAGGGAGGGGACTGTGGAGTCATCAAACTCTTAGGCTCAGCCTGTTTTTTTGAAAGTGGAGCCAAGAGGTCTTGGAGCCATGGGTCAGTGGTTAAGACCACTCTGGTTCATTTCCCACCACCCACATAGCAGTTCAGAACTGTAGCTCCAGTTTCAGGAATCTGACACCTCCTCGGCTGGCCTCTGTGGGCATTGTGTGCATGTGGTGCACTACATGTAGGCAAAGATACACATAAAATAAAAACATTTACAAAAAAAAAAAAGTGGAGCCAAGAGTGTGGTGATAACAGAGCTCAGGCCTTTGATCCCAGCACCTGGGATCACACACCTTTGATCCCAGCTTTAGGGAGGTGTCTAGGACAGAAGCAGGGTATCAGAGCTGGCATTCATTCTCTAGCCACATTGAAGATAGGAAGACATTGAAGTCTCAGGATTCTCCAGCCACGCTGAGGAGAGGCAGCAGTCTGAGGTTTGGTGGAGCTGGCATCACCTCTCATTCTGAGGAAGAGTGAGAGCTAGTGGCTGGCTGCTTTGCTTTGCTTTTCTGATCTTCAGCTTTAAGTTTGAACCCCAATATCTTTCTCTGCATCGTTTATTTATCGTGTTACACAAGAGAATTAGCTAAGGAAGAGGATACAGACTGGAGTTTTCATTTCCTGCGGTAGAAAAAAGAGAAATGGGGTGAGCAGAAGAGTGAAATTGGGACATGAACAGTTTAAGGCTTCTCATGCCCTCTTCTGGCTACTGTGAGTACCCGCATATATTTACTGCACAGGAGCACACACAAAAATAAGAATTAAAGTTGTATATTTTATGATATGAGGAGTGATTGAGCAAGACAGCTCCTGGCCACCACATACATGCACATGGGCCCTCCCCTCTGCATGCACATACAACACACACACTAAAATAAGTAAAAATGGAACAAAATTGGGCTTGCATGTCATAAAGGGGATTGGTTTCCTTGACAGCTGATAACATGTTACATTCTTATTAAAACTTAAAAAGAAAGCTCAGCACTGGCTGTGCCTCCTGGGGACCTGGTTGGATTCCCAGCACCCACATGGCACCTCACAGCCATCTGTCACTCCATTCCCAGAGGACTCAACACCCTTATCTGGCCTCTGTGAGCACTGTGTACACTCGTGGGCTATAGACCTGCACACAGAAATAAAGATGCGTTAGATCCACAGCCACAACCATTTAAAATACAGAGAGGAGCGTGGTTTGTATTGGGTCACTCTCTTGGGTCACATCCTGACTGGCATTTCTTAGTTTATGTCTTTTATGCCTTGGTTTTTCCTAACTGTAAAGTGTAATAAGGTCAGCCTCATGCGTTGTTGGGTGGAACACATGAGCCTTGGTAAATGTAACATGAATATGAATGTGCATAGCACATGGGGAGCATTAGGGGTATGCTCACTATTGCTGTATAATCAAGTGTCGTCAGGCTGGGGAGATGGCCCCGCTGATAAAGAACTTGCTAATAGGCACTGAATAGGCTAATAGGGGCTGAGTTCAGAACCCAGCGCCCATGTAAAAGCTGGATACATTCCTGCATGTATCTGTAATCCCCAGGGGGAGTGTGGAGACAGGAGAAACCCTGCAGCTGTGAGTTCCTGAGCTCCAGTTCAGTGACAACCCTGTTTCAAATCTAAAGTGGAGAGCAATAGAAGAGGATGTCTGACATTGGCCTGTGGCCTCCTTGTGCTACATGCACACACACACACACCACACACCACACACCACACACCACACACCACACACCACACACCACACACACACACACACACACACACACACACACACACACAGGCACACACATGCACACGCACACATACACACACGCACGCACACACACATGCACACATACACACACGCACACACACACAAGCACGCACACATACACAGGCACACACATGCACACGCACACATACACACACGCACACACACACAAGCACGCACACATACACAGGCACACACATGCACACGCACACATACACACACACGCACACACATGCACACGCACACATACACACACACACACGCATGCACACATACACACGCACACACACACGCACGCACACATACACAGGCACACACATGCACACGCACACATACACACACACACACACACACACGCACACACATGCACACATACACATACACACACACGCACACACATGCACAGGCACACGCCCCTACCTCCTTTGGTCTTTTCATTTTCCTTCACAGTTGAACACAGAAGTTGGGACTGCTAGCTCCAGTGACCACCCATTAGGTTGAGGCTTGAGATTGACTGTTGTATGACTGGTAGCAGAGACAATGCCTGTCCTGTCTCTGTTTATTTAAGTTTGATCTCTGTGCCTCCGATTCCGTACTATGAGTGCTTCTGTGTTACTACTTTTCACTTACTAAAATCGAACTTAGGTTCAAAATGATGGTACAAATACCGTTTTAAATGGAAGTGGTGACAAGGTGAAAATTAAACTGTTGGCTGACAGATGGCAGCAGTGGGCTACACTTAGACATCACTATCAGCTAACGGATGGCTGCTGGTGTAGCAGAATCCTGGCCAGGTGTTGTAGTACACACCTACAGAGACCCCAGCATTTGGGAGGCGTGGGTAGGCAGGAGGAGCTTCAGTATGAGACCAGACTGTAATATATTAAGACCTTCTTTCAAAAAACAAACAAAAAAGTCAAGTGGGCTATTTAGAAATGAAACATAATTTTTTCATTACAAATTATTATGGTTTATTTATATAGTTGCTATGTCATAGCCTTCTGGAAATACAAAGCTGTGGATTTTTGGTTTTGGTTCTGCAGGTTGAACCAGAGCCTCATGCTCACTGCTCTGCCACTGTGTTCTACCCCAACCTCCAGCCCAGGAAAGCATTTTTTTAAATTAATACTTAAATGGCTCGCAGTGAATCATTGTGAACCTACCATTAAAATGTTCTGTTGTGTGTGTACGCGTGTGCGCATGTGTGTAGTAAATTCTAGCTCAAAATTGGAGAATAAAGTTACTTTAGTTTTTAAATTTGATTTTTAAAAAGTTCTATTTTTATATTACCTTTTTAATAAATAGAATCCTAAAAGTGAGCAGTCTGTAAAGCTGAGTAAATGGCCATGTCTGTTCTGATTTTTAGATGTTCAAATATGACACTGTAGTCACTGCTGAGCCTCCTGTTGAACATTAAGGACGGTTAATTAATGCCTGTCCACTTGGATGCTGGCACAGAAACTTGGGTCCATGTCTATGGGGAACCTGTTCTACCTTCCTTTTTTTTTAATAGATCTCACTTACATGGAGAAGATGAATAAATTTAAGTCATCAGAGCATGAAAGAAAACTTGTGATCAGAAAAGTTGCAGACTTGGCTCTATAGAGAAGCAGATTGAAGTTTCAGTGTGATTGAGTGAGCTGTGGTGGATTTTAGATGCTTATCACCAATATTGATGACTTAAGAAATCATGACTTACCTGTTCCCTTAGGAAGAACCTGTATCTTTTTGGGTAATTTTTGTTAATGTACTTCTGCTTTCTTTTTATACAGTTCACATTTAATAAGATGGAAACCTGTAAGCTTGTTTGCACGAAAACATACCATACAGAGAAGGCTGAAGACAAACAAAAGTTAGACTTCTTGAAAAAAAGTATGCTACTGAACTATCAGCATCACTGGTGAGACAGATGAAAGTTCTATTTCTTTGTCTATAGAAAGTAAATTGTAGGTTGAATAAAATACAGCAAATTAGCTTCCTTGTGTCCATGCTAGGGCAGTTGTAAAGCATAGTTTAAAGTGTTGTCGTTCCTCCGTGCTTAGATCCTGGTTGTGTCAGGTGCTGCCTTCACTCAGCAGGGCCTGCTGCACTGCTGCCTGTGGTCATGTGTGGCTAACATGGGAGTGAGTTTATGCTGTGGGGAAGAGAAAGCCATTACTTCATTCAGTGGGCCAAGAGAAAGAGCATTAGCAAAACCAAATTTAACATCTGTAGGTAGCAACTTAATTCAGATCAAATCTACTTAGTGTTGATGCAACATTAACAAGTTTCTTACCAGTTTGTGTAGAAATAAAAAAGCATTTCATTTTGTTTTTAAGTGGTATACACTTGTTATCCATTACTCAAACAGAAAATACTTCAAAGGCTCTCCAAATCTACCCTTTCAAGATAATTTTGCTTACACATGCCTGTGTTCTATGTAGATTCGTGGTGTATATACGTTTTTCCTTTATAGAAACCAAGTTGTTGCTGGTTGCTAGCATTCTCTTTTCTTTACTGCTTGAATGTGGTGTTGATGTCTCAATCTGCAAATTTATGCACTCCTGGGAAGTTGAGGGGCTTTGGACCCCAGTTCAGACTTGGAGCACTATGGCTGGAGCCCCTCGCCACTTGTCTGCTCAGTTCTTATGTGCCAAGCGCAGAGAGCATAGGACTCCTGGGCAGGGCAGTCCTGAAAACAATGCACAACCCAACAGGAGGGACCAACAGAACAAACAGCTGGCAATAGACAGTTCTTACTTGCTATTTAGTAGTTTTCTATATCACCTGTGGGTGTTTTGCAAACATATATTGCTTAATAATTTAGAAAATAATCATGGCCTCCCTAAAGCAGTTTGGTACAGTGATTAAAATGAAATGAACTACATTCACAATAAGAATCCACAAGAATCCAGTACTTCTGAAGGTCTTTCAAATTCTGAGGGACACAGATTCCTTTGTATATCTATACATTTGTTCATGTAGTTTTATGAATTCCATGATGTGAATGGTGATTTTTACCCCCTAGAGAACATTGTAACCATATGCATAATTTCCCTCGTTACAGGGAAAGGTTAGGGGATATAGTTTTCTTACTTGTTGAGCACATTTCCATTTTTACTTGGATCATTTAAAGTGGATTTGAGATCTTTGGGCTGACTTTATCCATAGCTGGAGCAGCTCCATCATCATTCTAGAGCCTGCTTTGGATCCCCACACTAGTTACCTGAACTCCCCTCAGCTGTGCTGTCCACTTTGTCCCTCTGCCTTCTAAGATTTCTTAGAGATGGATGGATGGGAGGGACAGGGAAGGGGAGTGGAGGGGAGAGGAGAGGAGGGGGAGGACATCTGTTATTGAAGACCAAGTATAGGGTCTTACTCATGCTGAGCAAGCCACACCCCCACCCTTTATGATGTTTTAAAAATAAATCATACTTAACTAGTTGGCTTAGTACTTTGAGGGCTCAAGGGTATAGAGCCTCTGTACTGCAGCTTATGGTCTAGAAATGGATTTTGAAGCTGGCTTTGGCACATTTAATCTCAGATCCTACCAGTTCAACAAAAGAGAATGGAATGCAGTTTTCAAAACTGCAGAATCCTCATTAATATAAATCTGCTTGTGTTAAACCACACAGTAGGACTTCATTGCCAAGTTCATTCCTTTTTGCCACAGTTTTGGTTATTCCAGTCTCATCAGCTTTTATAACTGAGTTGTTGGGAAAGTAAGTTGTTTATAATAAAGTTCCATTGGTGACAGTGTTTCTCACAGAGGCCCTGGAATGTAGGAGGAGGAAGCTTCTGCCCTGAAAGGTAGACAGTTGGGACCAGTCACCCTTGGATTCTTCTTCATGCTCTTTTGCATGGCAAATTGGAAATAGGGTTAAATTATTTTATGTTAGAAATTAAATACTGCTTCCTGACTAAGGAAAGCAGCCATTTCAAGGGATATTTTTAAATTTTTCTTACATTTATTTCTAAGGGTTTTTTTTTCTGTTTAGTATGTTATAATACCTGAAATAGTTATTAACATGAGGGCATTAAATATATTACAAATAAGTGAAACCTGAGTTTGTTTTTAGAACCCCAATTCCTCCAACTTCCTTATTGCAACTGGCACTCTTAATTTTTATGTGGCATTTTCTTTGTAGTTGGCTAGCATAAAGACATTCTGTGTTGCCGGTATGTACTCACTGGTTATACTTCATTCTGTCTGAAGTAACTGACTGATTATTTAGTTCTCCACAAAACTCTGAATTATTTATATAGCATTGTTTTATGTTTCTGATATTTTATGTTACAGTCTTTTGGGTATAATAATAAACAGCTTAATAGTATAGGTGATTCTAAAATTCGGTACACAAAGTACTATTAAGTAGTACTTATATATGACAAGACATGTTTTATTAGGTCATTAACATACACCTTGGGTGAATATAGAATCATAATTTTACTTCCTAGGGCACACATTAATTAAAAAATAAAACATGCCCTGGAGTGTAGTCTTATGACTGTAATACAACTAGCATGTTTTGGCTAATTTTTTATTTTGCGTCCTGCAGTGTGTTCTAAGCATAGAGGACCACACGCCTGGACTATAATGCAGCTTCACAATGCTACAGAACTTCATTATTCTTTTAATGTTTTTTCACTCTAAACTTTGAAAGATTTGGGTCTCTTGCTTTATAGAAATGTTTCTTTTATAAATCACTTGGATTTTATAAGTTTTAACAGGAATACTGTAATTTCCACTTATTTCTGCATGCTTTAGTTAAATTTCATCTCGGCATTGTACTCTTTGCCTTTCACCTGAGTTGCTATAACAAACACCACTCATGTCTGCCTAATAAGCTCTCAGGAACCAGACACATTGCTCTGTACCTGTTTCAAGCTCAACGTTCTGCTGAAGGTAAAAGCTATGCTCAGGTGCCTGGGTGATGTCATTGAATTCACAGCTGCAGCAGGCTGGATTCCTATATGCATTTGTAGTTTCAAAGCCTCTACAGAATCTGTGCTTACATAGTGCATGATAGGGTTCATCAAACAGTGTTGAATTGGAATCTTTAGAAGCTGGGTGATGGTGTTGCACGCAGACCTGTAATCTCAGCACTTGGGAGGCAGAGGCAGGTGGATCCCTGAGTTCGAGGACAGCCAGGGCTACACAGAGAAACCCTGTCTCAATAAAAAGCAAAACAAAGCAAAGAAAAAAAGGCATTTAGAAATGTTTACATTTGTAAAATTACATTGATGTAAGCTCTCTCCTAACTCAACTTTTACTTACCTGCACAGGATTGTGGATAATATGCCTGTAACGTGGTGTTATGATGTCGAAGATGGTCAGAGGTTCTGTAACCCTGGATTTCCCATTGGCTGTTACATTACAGACAAAGGTCATGCAAAAGATGCCTGTGTTATCAATGTAAGTCTGGTAACTTTGCACTGCTTTTTAGAAGGAGAATTTGCTCTTAAACAGAACTGTTACAGGCATAGAATGGGTGTAGCTAGATGGTCTCAAGTCTTTACTTGAGGTCTTTAGATCTTAAACTTAAGGCAGATTAAAACTGCAAATTTAACTCTAGGATTAAAATAATTTAGATTCAGTTCAACATTTACAGTCTTTTTTGATAAGTTCTGTGTTAAGGGCTCAGTCTCTGTTCTAACTCAATTAAAAGTTAGATTTTATGGCTGGAGAGATGGTTACCTCGTAAGATCACGTAGTGCTTTTACAGAGGACCTAAGTTTGAGTCCCAGCACCCATGTCAGGTAGGTCACAAAAGCCTAGCACTCCAGTTCTGGGAGACCTCTCCTGGCCTGCAACAAAAAGCACTGGCACGCAAGACATAGATATAATACCAAAATACTCAAGACATCTGCCTGTCTCTGCCTCCTGAATGCTGGGATTAAAGACATGCACCCACTAAAAATAAATCTTTAAAAATATATTTTTAATCAAAAAAAAAAAAGTTAGATTCAGGGCCGGCAAGATTGGCTTATTAGGTAAAGGTGCATGGTGACCTGAGTTCATTCAGTTTCCAGGCTCCATATGGAGAAAGGAGGTAACTGACCCCAAGGTTGTCTGTCCTCTGACCTCCACACATGCACCACACCTACACAATAAAATGTAACTTGAAGGAAGCTATAGCCAAAAACCGTTTTTTAGAGAAAGTGTTATTAAGGAAAAGTAATTTAAAATTGCTAGTAGTAGTAGGAGGACTGAGGAAGGAACGTCGTCTAATGCATTAATCTTACGTAGATACTGGAGTGTCAGAAGGCTTCTCCGTAAGTTTGTGAATTTATATTGTAAAAGCTTGAAAATACACTCTTTGTAAGACCTGTTTGTCTTTAAAGCCCTGCTTCTATGATAAAAATGGAGTGCTAAGAGCAGAGACACTGATACAGAATTGTTGTTAAGATCAGTATGTAACAGTCACCAATTCTGTTTTATGTTGGTACTACTAATATTGAGTGTATGAAGTTTTCGAATACTCAGCCTGATTTACTGTCTTAATGGGTATGATCTGATAAGTTGTCATAAATCTCACTATCTTGATGAATCCTGTTATGAAGGTTGACCAGGGTACTTGAGTAGCTGAGGTCATTTGTTTAAACAATTTTACAAATTTTTAGAGATGAGGTGCCATTAAATGTGGACAGTTTTGCTTATTTATAATCTTTTTTAACATTTTATTGTAAGTGAAAAACTAGAGAACATTGGTTACCTAGTTTAGCAGGTGTGTATTAGTTTTGTGTAAAGCTAAAACCTTAGAAGGCCTCATTTACCTTCGCCACTTAGGTCTGGCTTGTACGGGCTTCAAGCTTAAAACTATAGCTTGTGATAGGGAAGGGTAAAAGTTTCATCTGAACTGTGTCTGTCTGTTCCTGTTGTCACTGGTGAAGCCTGTGCTAGATTCTCCTGTAGGCAGTGTTCTGTCTTTAACTGTAAGTTCTCTTTCACAGTCAGAATTCCATGAAAGAGATACTTTCTACATCTTCAATCATGTTGACATCAAAATATATTATCATGTTGTTGAAACTGGGTCCATGGGAGCAAGATTAGTAGCTGCTAAACTTGAACCAAAAAGGTAAATATACCAGTAGGTTAAAAAAACAAAAACTATTGCAACCAGGTGTGGTGGCTCACACTTATAATCCTAGAACTCTGGGAGGCTGAGGCAGGAGGACTGAGGTGAGCTCCAAGCTAGCCTGGCCTCAGCAACTCCCCTCACCCCATAAACAAATGTAAGAGAGACTGAGATCTACAGGGTAAGTACTCGGAGGTCAAGTGCTTTTTCCTTAGTCATAATTCTGACATGTGCAGATTAATCACAGCGAGAACTCCCTAAGTGTGATGTCCTGAGGTTCTTACAGGCTGCTCAGAGAAATGGTAATTATGATTTCTCTGTATTGGGGAAGTGGAGATTGAGATGCTTTCTTTCTGCATCTTGTTTTGTTTTCTTCTTTCAGGAATTTTCACATCTTTTCCGAGTGGTTGACACAGGGTCCCCTTTGTAGTGGAAAGAGCACAATGGCAGATGGTTTTCCTGCTCTGAGGCCCATGTGGCTGTTGGCACTGTCATTTTAAAGTCTCCATGCCAGCCTTTGCAAGGGAGTCTTTTGAGGTTGTCTAGTGTTAGCTTAAAAGTACCTGTTTTGAGCCAAGCATGCGTGCACACCTTCAGGCAGGCGGGTCTCTTGAGTTTGAGGCCAGCTTGGTCTACAGAGTGAGTTGCAGAACAGCCCAAGCTACACAGAGAAGCTCTGTCTCAATAAAGAAAGTACTTGTTTTTGTTGTGGATTGCATTTTTTTCCATGATTTTCTTGCCACTGAATTAGCCATATTTTCACATTAATAGTGTAAAGCAATACATGGCAGACTGATACTAAAGTGGCAGTTAATTTCAGCTCCCCCTGTGGACTGGGAACAGTGGTGTGTGCCTGTAGTTCCAGCACATGGTTGAAGCAGGAAGGCCACTTAAGTCTAGACATAAGACGAGCATGAGCAGCATGGCAAGACCCCATCTTACAGGAGGAGTGGGGCTTTTGGTGGTCTTTTAAATGAAGTGGTTCAGACTTTTGCTTACAGTTGAATATGTAACTAAGCCCATTATTTCTGTTGAAGTAAATATTTATGCTATGAAATGTGACATGAGGACCAATGAGATGGCTTGGTTATAAAAGTGTTTTCCAAGGAAACCCAGTGACCTAGGTTCAAGTCCTTGATCCCACGGTGGAAGGAGAGGCCTGACTCCTCAAAAGTGTCCCACGACTTCAACACACATGTCATGGCATGCTCTCACACACACATCATAAACACACACACAAATAGTCAAATTTGAGACGAATTTTGTAATGTGATATGAATGATGTCAAAATACAAAGAAAATTATGGCCTGTATTTTATCTGAGTTTTCTAAACTGAACTTTATCATTGTCTTGCCAAAATGTTTCTTTCCACAGCTTCAAACATACCCATATAGATAAACCAGACTGCTCCGGACCCCCCATGGACATAAGCAACAAGGCTTCTGGGGAGATCAAAATTGCCTATACTTACTCTGTTAGTTTTGAGGTGAGTTTGCTTTTAATCTTGAGTAATTGATTGTACCTCTTAGCCTGATTAAAATTACTAATGGTCAAATAGACAAGCTTTTAATGAGCTGCTTTTCCCAAATACCTGTCAGTGCACCAAACAACAAAATGATTCCTAAGACTAAATTGTAGTTTAAATGAAAAGATAGAGGAGATGGGAGAATTGTGCTTAGTGTGTGTGACAACTAAGAGATGCAAGCAAGAAAGTAGGTGTAGCGGGCAACATGAGATCTCAGGAGCTCGTGGGAAATGCCCTCCTTTGCATAACGAGCATGAGGTGTCACAGAAGGTGGTTGTCAGAAGTATGGGGAAGTATTCCACCTCTGCTTCTAAATTTTTACCTTGACTAGCTAATATAGTTGTGAAGTTTAATGTCCCCATGTGTGGTATTTAATTTTCAAGGCCAGCGCAATAAACAGTATGTGTCTTTAGGTAAAACGCCAGTGTGAGTGGCATTTACCAGATGTTCAGTGTACCTGGATTATAACCATGGTCTTTTGAGTCATCCCATAGGTACAGTGTAAAGAAAAACTCATTCTGTTCTTTTCTCAAGAAGTTAAGAAAATGCAGCTCTAAATTTTGGCATTGAAAATCCACTTGTGCTAGCTATAAGTTAGAGCTGGACTTTTAAAAACACTAACATGAAACCCACAGAAACAGCTGACCTGAACATCGGTGAACTCTTGCTCCCCAGAATGATAGCTGGGGATACCAGCATGGGACTGATCCAGACCCCAGGAACTTGGGTTTCAGTGAAGAAACCTCGGAAATCTACGGGACCTCCTGTAGTAGTTCAGTACTTATCCCTAGCATAGGTGTGGACTTTGGGAGCCCATTCCACATAGAGGGATACTCCCTGAGCAAGACACACGGGGGCGGACCTAGGCCCTATCCCAAAGGATACGATAGACTCTGATGACACCCTATGAAAGGCCTCACCATCTGGGGGAGCAGAAAGGATATGTGATAGGTAGGGTTTTAGTTGGGGGGAGGGGTTGTAGGGGAGGAGGGGAGGGAGAAGGGAACTGGGATTCACATGTAAAACAATCTTGTTTCTAATTCAAATAAAAAAATCTGAAAAAATCAAAATAAAAACACTAACATGTAGGTATTGCTGGAATTCTTGCCAGGCCTCTTGAGGTTTTTTGTTTGTTTGTTTGTTTTAATTTACTGCTTAGTTTCATTCTATTTGCAATAGATTTGAATAAATCTAAAACTACCTCATTTTCACTAGCAACCCAGGTTCTGCTGTTGAAGTTGTAGGTGTTAACTGAGTAGGAGAGTGCACTATTGAAAAGAGTTTTCAGATTCTTACTGTACCTTGTCAGAAGATGCTCAGAGTTTCCTTCTTGCCCCTCCCTCCAGGAAGAGAAAATCATCAGATGGGCGTCTAGATGGGACTATATTTTGGAGTCCATGCCTCACACCCACATTCAGTGGTTTAGGTAAGAGTCCGATTAGTCTGCCTTTGGCTTTCTTCTTGTTCAACTCCTTGTCCCTGTGAGTGTTTCATCCCCTCTGTAGCCCTGCTCATGTGCGTTTAGTGGTCTAGACTGAAGTTAAGACCCTGACTTTAAGCCACTGGTCCAGCCTTCCTAGTGTTGTGATGCTTTAATACATTTCCTCATGTTGTGGGCCCCCCATCATACAATTATTGTTGTTGCTACTTCATAGCTGTAATTTTGCTACTGTTATGAATGGTAATGTAAATACTAAGTGAGAGGTTTGCCGAAGGGGTCGTAACCCTCAGGTTGAGAACCGTGCTTTAAGCCATGAAGTATTTGTCTAAGCAGGTTGTCTATTTCTAAATTTGTTTCTTAATCTGGAAATGCTTAGCTCATGGGAGTGGAATGATAAGGGATTAGAGATTGTGGGATGGAACATCTGAGGTTGTTACTGGCTGGTAGGTCAGAGTGCTCAACAGTTGCTGTTCAGCCATTGTTCTCTCCAAAGCATGACTCAGGACTTTGCCTTGGAGCTGGTTCACTGTGCATCTCTCCTTTTCCTGTTTTGCTGACTAATCTTCTTGACATTCACTAGTTTACTGTGCAAATTTGCCTGTTACTAAGTTCCTGGAGGGTCCAAGCCAGCCTTCACCACCTTGCTGTGTGTATTGCAGTGACGTGGAGACAGGAGTTAACCCAGTAATGTTGTCCTACACAAAACCAGCCTGATTCTGGGCTGCAGAACTGTAGAAGCTGTGGGTTGTAGTCGAGTGGTAAAGGCTTTCACAGGGTGTCCAGGAATCAGTCTGCAATACTACACATGCATCTGAACAGTGATAGTCCTGACTGAGCGCTGTGACTGAGTGAGGCAGGAGGATTTCAGGGTTGTAGTTGAATTGGGCAAAGGAGAGGAGGGGGGAAGAAGGGCGGTGATGGATATATGAAAATATGTACATGGTAGAACACAATACACTGAATTAGTTGGGTTTTAGAAGTTTTGAGCCAGGTGGTGGTGGCAGATGCCTTTAATCCTAGTGATTGGGAGAGAGGCAGAGGCAGGTGGATCTCTTGAGTTCAAGCACAGTCAGGACTGTTACACGGAGAAACCCTGTCTCAAAAAACAAACAAACAAAAAACAAAAGGAATTTTTGATTTTTAAGCCAGGCACGGTGGTGCATACCTTTTGTCTTAGCATGAGTCTAGCCTAGTCTACCGAAGGAGTTCCAGAACAACCAGGGCCACACAAAGAAACCCTGTTTGCAAAAAAAAAAAAAAAAAAAAAAAAAAAATTGTTTTTATTTTGATTGGACTGGGGGTTTTTGTTGGTGTTGTCTTTAGTTTTTCGAGACAGAATTTCTTTCTGTGTCCCGGAACTCATTCTGTAGACCAGGTTAGCATGAACTTGGAGATCCACCTCCCTCTACCTCCCGAGTGCTGGGACTAAAGGTGTGCTCCACCTTTGCCCTGACTTAGCTGTTTTAGTGTCACTCAGTGAAAAGTTTTTTGACACTTTTTTTGTGTGACTAAGCTGCAGTTTCACTCTGATGTGCTTGTTCCCACAGCATAATGAACTCCTTGGTTATTGTTCTGTTCTTATCTGGAATGGTAGCTATGATTATGTTACGCACGCTGCATAAAGATATTGCCAGATATAACCAGATGGACTCTACGGTAAGTGAAAACATTTCATTGAGTCTTTAGACACCATAGAGATGAGATGCGGAAACTTTCAGTTGCAGAATGTGAAATATATGAAAAAGTAAGAGCTAAAAATTTTCCAAGACAGAAAAACAGAGAATCCATGAAGTATTTCCCAAACATATGAATAGAATGATTTGCTTGTTTGTCAGTGAACAAAAATACTTGGCCACAAACAGATCCACACTGAAGCAGCTTTGATGGAGATAATTTAGCAGACTAAGAAAATGGAGTAAACTGAGGGCTTATAGGCTATGAACATGGACACACCGACTATCTGATGGATGGTTTTAGGATGAAGTTGGTATTTATCTGGAAAGAGAAGTCTGGGCAGAGGACATAAGAAGCGTGGGCCTGTAGCAAAACCCTGAACAAAGCTTGGTGTGCAAGCCTGACGCACTGACTTCAGTCCTCAGAGCCCACAGAGGGAGAGAGCCACTCCTGAAAGTTGTCCTCTGACACCTTTTATAAAAATAAAATTATTTCTTGAATTAGAAAATCCCAAGTGGTGATTATTCACAGTAAGGGATATGCATATTGCAATGTTGTTGGTTCACCTGGCTCTGCCCGTATTGGGCGGGGATTGAGAGAACAGCTTAGTTTGGCCAGCCAGTGAAAATGCAGAGTGGCAGGCACTTTGACAGTACCTGTGCTCCTTTCAAATTGTCAGTACCGGGGCCCAGCATTTCAGTTTCCAAATTAACTTGGGTACAACAGATTTTTATTGCTAAGTTTTATTTTCACAGAGTAGGTATGTTGTGCTTGCTTAGAAATTGCATAATTTTAAGCAGTTAATAGGTGGCTGACTTTATAAATTATGGAATATCCACACGGTAGAAAACTAAACATTAACAACAATGAGACAACTCTGCAATACAAGCATGTTTTACAGCTAAGTTTACTTCCATAGTTGTGTCAGAATCACACTGTCCGTGTAAAGTCTGTTTCAGTCCCCTTTCCTTGGCAATGCTGAGGATCTTAAGAGGGCCTGGTGTGTGGTGGGCAATTTTCCGAGAACTTTAATATGTAAATTCCTTCAGAAACAATCCTGGAGCGCTATTTAAAACTCCATGCTCACATTCTGTCTTCAAAACATAAATTTGGGAAAATGTGTAGCAGCATATTCTATGGTAAGCCAACAAAACTGTTGCCGTGAGGCATGCTGAACTGAGTTCCTTGTTTTCGTAGGAGGATGCCCAGGAAGAATTTGGCTGGAAACTAGTTCACGGGGATATATTCCGTCCTCCAAGAAAGGGGATGCTGCTGTCAGTCTTTCTAGGATCCGGGACACAGATTTTAATTATGACTTTTGTAACTCTGTGTAAGTTTTAATGAATATTAAAAAGAGAATACTTTGTCTGGATAATATTTGGAAGTAGGTTTCCCTATGTGAAGCCACTGTGCCAAGAGCCTTTTGACTTTTGAGATTTTGTGTGCCTGGGCTCTGACTGCCCCTGGGACAGGTTAGATTCACCGAGAGGCTGGCAGGGTGTATCCTCCCTCCCTCAGGAAACATGATAGCCTGGAGCCGGCACCACTCCATCCAACTCCAGAGGAAGGAGCAGTCAGCTAAGAGTCCACAGATCTGTGGCATCCAGGATAGAAGAAAGAGGGAACTAGGGTTGAGAAAGAAAGTTTTTGTAATGTTTTCTCAAAAATTTAGGAAGTAAGACTTTTTTTTTTTGGCAGTGTTCCATAACTACAGGGTCTCCTTGAGCCACCTGGGATCTTGAGAAATTTTATTGCATAAAGTTTTATCGGTGAAATAGATCTCCTTTAGGGGGACTGTTCAGATGCAGGATGCTTTGAGACTGCTCCTTGGGGTTGCATAAGTACAGTTTCTTTGCTGCCTCTTTTCTGTAAGAGAAGCTGTTTATGAGTATACTCTTTTGCATTGTGTGTATATTTTTAAACCATGTTTTACTTGAGTCCAGCTACTGGTGAAAAGTAACAAAAAGTTGTTACTGAAAGAATCCACAGGGCCGAGTGTGGTGGTGCATACATACCTTTATTTCCAGGGAGAGGCAGGGGCAGGCAGATCTGTGTCAAGCCAGTCTGGTCTACAAAATGAGTGCCAATATAGCCAGAGTTACACAGAGAGACCCTGTCTCAAAAAACAAACAGAAACAAAAAAAATCCACAGAAGACCTTTTAAATTTTTTTTAGGGAACATATATATGATCCTGTTTGGCTACAGGTCAGATATGTAATAGTGCATGTAGTCTTTTGTCTAGTCTTTCTTTTTTGAGACAAGGTGTTATTTTGTATACTAAGCTGGTGTGGAACCATCTCAGATTCCCAGTAGTGCCCTGCTCCTGCTCCCTAGTGCTGGAATACGGTGTGAGTCACTATGAACAGTAGTAATTTTCTGTTAGTAAAATTATTGTGCTTTTTGATGTTTGGGGGGGTGGTTATTATTGTTGTTGTTTGTTAGCTTTGTTTTGAGATCCACCGCCTCTGCCTTCTGAGTGCTGGGATTGAAGGCGTGCACCACTACTGCCTGGCTGTATATTTTTATAGTGGGAATAACTGTCATTCCTAAATGCCTGACATCTGGGTAAGTTTGAAAGCCACAATTCACACCTTTAGGCTTTACACTCAGGTTGCTAGACTTATTTTAAAGACTAGTACTAGCTATTGTTATTTTAATGTAATAACAAGTAGGGAGATAATAGCTTTGATAGAGGGCTAGGATTTGTTAGAGTATTAGGCTGAAGTAGGAAGGTAGGCCTGGAGAAGACGTCATAAAAAATCTTAGTAAGCCAGAGGCTAGCATGATGCCATCAGTCCAGACATGGCCTTGAGGGTATAGTTCTGCTCTAGCATTGTATCAGAAATCTTGTGGACCCCACAGAGACTCCCTAGTGGCCATACAGTATGTTAGTCACTACTAGCTGCATAGGGCTGTGTGTATTTTTCATGAGGTTGTGTTTGTTTTCTTGTATAAAAAACAAGTATTCTACCATTTCACAATAAAGGAAGGAGAGTAATAACATTTAAACTTTTGGTGGTTGCTTCTTAGTTTTTGCTTGTCTGGGATTCTTGTCTCCTGCCAATCGAGGAGCCCTGATGACCTGTGCTGTGGTGTTGTGGGTGTTGCTGGGCACACCTGCTGGTTATGTTGCTGCCAGATTCTACAAATGTAAGTAAAGACCATAGTGGCCGCAATTGACTCTGCCGCCATCCTGATTCTGAACTGGATGGGGGTGGTGTTGTTAGCACTGTCTGGAGAGGTATATTGTAATTTCGTCTGCCACCGTTGTGGGTCTGATGGGTGGTGGTGGGGACAGATAGGCAGTGCCTAAAGAGGTATCACAGAGGTTTCTAGATAAGAGCCTGGAGAGTGGTTTCTGTTTTACATGTTCTAGGCCCTCAGATATGTAAATTAAAAACAAAATCAACAGTAAATTTACAGTCTTCAGTGACTGAATTCATATAAAAAGTTTATAATTATATTCTCATTCATTTAATTTTATCAATTTTCCTTTAAGGTAAGTAGTATGTACACTTGCTTATAAAAGATACTAAAACTGCTTTCAATTCAAAGCTCTTCATGTCTGACTTTTAAAGTGGGAACAGAGGAAGAAATGTCACTTTTTACTCTGCACAGTTCATGATTTGATATTTTTAAGTGGAAGAAAAAAATTAAGAGGTGCAAAGGAAAGTAAAAATTGTATTAGCAAATTTATTCTGTCAGAAATTGAAAGCCCTTTCTGAACTATAGTATTGGAGAACCCTAGATATTCAAACCTACTGTGGGAATTTAAATATGTTGCAAGTTAGACTTGAGGGTTGTGGAACAGATTCTGAAACTGACCACAGATGAGCAAGAACCTCCCTGTATCATTTCCATACCCAGGTATATTCACTGATACTGGCGTAGGGTTTAAGGGGGTTGTTTGTTTTGTGGCGTCAGTAAGACAGACCAGACCAGATCTGGGTGGCTTAGCCTCTGATACTTGCCTGTGCACTGTGGGACATTTACTCACAGGCATCATAGCATATTTGGGAAGATCTCTTCCTGCAGAGCTGCTCATGCTGCCTGACAAACATTTGGGGTGTGAACACTTGGTTTGCTTTAAAGAAAAATTCGTGCTAATGCTTTTGTTTCCTTCCTTAGCCTTTGGGGGCGAGAAGTGGAAAACAAATGTTTTACTGACATCATTTCTTTGTCCTGGGTAAGTGAATTTTTCACTAATTCTTAATGATCATCTCTTATTCCCCCAGCCTTTTTGGTCCCTTGTGTCTCTAAGTCAGGTATCTAAAAGAGTGTTTAAGATTTGAGAACGGATAGCATGAATGCTTAGTGAGCCTGTGCTAAGTGACACCATGTACTCTTATAGGAAAATGAGCTTTGGATACTAGAAACACTTGCTTTCTTGTGAGTGTTTGTAGTGCACGAGGGAGAAAAGGCACCTCCCTTGACACAGCGTCTTTCTGCCTCTTCTAAGGGCTGTGGTGGTTGTCTGACATGTTGCCACATAAGGTTGCAGGGGAGCTTTTGGCCTGGTCATAGGGAGGGCTTCTCCCTGAAGGGTTTTCCTCAGATGTATTGCCAATATTTGTATATTCCATTATGTAGAGTGGTGTGTTTAAAGGTTAAACATCATAAATCAGAACGACCTTGGCTTTCTTGAGAAATGCTTCTGTTCTCATCTAGTGTCTACCAGAGCCTTCAAGTTTCTGGTTGACAGAAACTGGCCAGTGAACACATAGTAGTAATGATGAGCACACAAGGTGGGCTGAGACAGACCAGTATGAGAAGCAAATGCTCCCTTTGTGGCTGCCCTCTGTGTGCTTTCCTCAAGTCATACTCATCATGGTTGCTTCTGCTACTTCCCTAAGTGACCTGCTCGCCAAGACTGTCCTGGTGGCGCCCTTCAGGGTCTCGCCTTTGAATCAGACATCTCCTGTTGCTCCCTTTGTTGTGTTGTGTACAGAGAACTCTTACTCCTAGAATAAATATGCTTAGTTCTCCTGGCTCCTAAAAGAGCTTCCTTGAGTATCTTCCCTGCTGCTGCATATTGCTTTTTGACCCCCGCACACGGGCCTTGAGAGAACAGTCTTCGCTCCTGCCGTCATTTGATCTGCACACATTTGCAGTGTAAACCCATGTCATCAGTACTTTTCCCCATTGTTTTACTGAAATTTATAGTGGCATTTCTGTTTTCAAATCTGGAAATCATTGTCCCTGGGCTCCTGGTGTCTTTCTTTCTAGTCCTACTCTAGCCTTCTCTCACAGCTCTTCTTGGGTTTATACTTGTTTTGAAGACTGGGTCTTGCCAGTCGATGGTGCACACCTTTAATCCCAGCACTTGGTATATGTGAGGTTGAGGCCAGCCTGGTCTACAGAGCTGGTTCCAGGACAGCCTGAGCTACACAAAGAAACCCTGTCTCAAAAAACTAAGGGGGTGGGGGAACAGGCTCTTATGACCACTACTCAGAGCTTTTCTATGCTGGCGTTGAACCTACACCCTTATGTATGCTACAATTGCATATGTAGGTTCTATCCCCAGTGTGGAAAAGTAGTATAAAGTATGTATTTGTGATTAACAGCCTTGCTGTAAACTTGGACACTTTGAGCAGTGGCAGTGTCATAGGCAGTACTGTTCATCTGAGGCACAGTACTGCTAATTGAGAAACATACGCAGCAGCCTTGGTGGAAGTATGACTGCACACACTCAGGTGTTTAAATTCAGTAAAAGCACAAGGGGAAGCATGATGTTTAGCAAGAAATTAGTGACTGGAGTATACAAATGATGCACAGTGAGTTTGCAGAAGACATGCGGCCCAAATGAGCAGTGATCAGGGGTCCTCGCCAGTGAGTGCAGAAGTGACGCCGCAGCCAGCCAGGGCCGGATGCTCGCTGCAGTTGTCCACTCTTCTAACTGTGATGAAAATGTGTGGAAAGGCAACTTTCATCAGCTGCTGGCTGGAGTTTAAATTGGTCAACGCAGCTGAAAAAGCAGTTTGTAGTAACGTTTTAAATTCTGTGGACACTATGACTTAGAAATTATACCTTTTTTATTCTCTGTCATAAGTCACGAATGTGACATGAGTCACAGGTAACTGTCCCTTCTCTTTTTTTTTTTTTTTTTTTTTTTTTTTTTTTTTTTTTTTTTCTTTTTTTTTTTGACTGTCTTTCAGGATTGTGTTTGCTGACTTCTTCATAATGAATCTAATCCTCTGGGGAGAAGGCTCTTCTGCAGCCATCCCTTTCGGCACTCTGGTTGCCATCTTGGCCCTTTGGTTCTGCATATCTGTGCCTTTGACGTTTATTGGTGCATACTTTGGCTTTAAGAAGAATGTAAGTTTGTAAGTGCTAACCTCAGTGGTTTCAGCTGAGGAGACTGGTCTATTCTGCCTTAAAAGACCCATAAAATGTCACAAAGTATAAACTTCCCCTTTAGATGAGGGGTTCCAAGTTCATGGAATAATAGTGTTAGAAATACTGGGCTTTTTTTAAGTCACGTCCTCTGTAGCAAGCCTGATTTCCTACTCCCAACTCCTGAGTTGCTTAGAACACAGGCATGCCCCTCCACACCTGGCATAAAGTTCTGTGGGTTTTGTTTTTTGTTTGCAGTATTTCCTCCTTATGTGAGGGAATTTGAGTTTGGGGGCAGTATAAAAAAAATTTATGAAATTTCAGGACCAACTGATTTCTTCTGGCATATATGTAATTAAAATGAAGATCCAGAGTTTGCCTTATTAATGCCATATGGTCTTCTCTTATTTCTTACTTAGTTTAAAGCTATTGGTCAGTAGATGACCACTAGAAAAAGCTTTGGCCTATTTAGAAGACAGACCTTATACCTGGCAATGTCTGATTCATTGCTTTTAATTACATATTTCAATTTGATGACTTAAATAGACTTTCAATGTCAAGTAGTATGAATGTGGAAACTAAGAGGAAAGCAAAAAAACTGTGCAGAGAGTATTTTAATAGCTACTTAATTATGAATCCTTCCCCCCCCTTTGAAGGCCATTGAACATCCAGTTAGAACCAATCAGATTCCTCGTCAGATTCCTGAACAGTCATTCTACACAAAGCCCTTGCCTGGTATCGTCATGGGGGGCATTTTGCCCTTTGGCTGCATCTTTATACAGCTTTTCTTCATTCTGAACAGCATTTGGTAAGCTGAGGACAAAGTCCTCTTCTCTTCATTACCTTTGTTTGTGGGGGACTATGGGATACAGATGTAAACAGCTCTAATAACAGTGGTTATCTTCCCGTGGGAAAGAGTAGATTGGTGGTAACAGCACACACTAAATGAAGACTTATATTTTTTACCCTTGTTAATTCTTACATAACTTCCAAGGTTCTGACCCCAAGTGTGTCAGACCATGTTCTTAAGGAGTTGTGCTGCTGCAGAGAGAAGCAGCTGAGAGCTCGTGGGATGAGGTTGGGAAGAGGATTGATTCCATGACCTGGAAGTGTGTGCGATCACCCAGGTCCTGCAATCACTCTTTCTTGTTCCCGTGGAAAAGCCTTTTTTGAAGTAGGTCTTCCCTATGTGTCTCTGACTGGCCTGGAACTTGCTATGTAGACCAGGCTGGGCTTAAACTCATAGAGATTGTCTGCCTCTGTCTCCCAAAAGGTGAGATTAAAGGTATGTGCCCCATTTCCATGCCATGGAAAATTATTGTAACTGTGTGCCTCTCTATTGCAGAGTGTTTGAGTGGGGGTAGTGTATTGTGATCACTTTGAATCATATGGACACATACTACAATTGTACCAAGATCTGAGGTAGCATGAAATTGGAATAGATTGGAGCTTTGTAAATGGCTAGAATAGCTTCCCTTCCCAGTTATTGTAATAGTTTTCCAAATTCTGAAACCGTATGTGCTAATGTGGGTTTTGGGGGGCTTTTTTGTTTGTTTTTTTCTTATCTTGACTGTGTCTTTTCATCATGTTTTTCTCAAACACTTCTGACTCACTAGTAGGTAAAATGTTCCTGAACAGTGGTTTCAGGGTCTGCCTGAACAGGAATCTAAAATCTGACACCATCAACACCATATCCTTCCTTGTCTTGGCCCTCTCACCAAACCTGTGCAAAAGTATCTTGCTTGATTTGTTGAGAAAAAGAAAACCTTCCTAGTTCAAAACAGACTAAACAATGTCATTTATTGTGTGAAATATTTATACCATTGTGTCCTGACATGTTTGATTACAGGTCACATCAGATGTATTACATGTTTGGCTTCCTGTTTCTGGTGTTTATCATTTTGGTTATTACATGTTCTGAAGCAACCATACTTCTTTGCTATTTCCACCTATGTGCGGAGGTACGTGTTAGCAGTCTTTAATATTAATTTATTGGCAGTATTACAAATTTGGTATATTTCAACTTGAGTATTGTTGAGGTGAATTCTCTACATACATGTTTATTATCAAAATTAACTCTATTCACAAATCAAAAGAGGCCTCCTTTGGATTGAATCAAGATCATATTCTTGTTTGTTATACTTAAAGATTGTTAGTAGAGATTTTTAGAATGTTAACTTCCCAAGACTATTGTAATGCACTAAATTTGACTTTTATGACTGTCTGACTTACAAATTAAGATATTTCTGGGTTCTAAAAGTTGGTAAGAATAAGTAGTTGGAGCCTGGAGAGATGGCTCAGTGAAAAGAGCACTGCTCTTGCAGAGGACCTGGGTTCAGTTCCCAGCACCCACATCAGGTGATCTAAACCCAGCCACCTGTGAGTCCAGTTCTAAGGACACTGTGCCCTCTTCTGGCCTCCTCAGACACCTGCACACAGGTGGTACACATTTCAAACAGATACACACACATATAGTAAATATTTCTAAGCTGAGTGGTAGTGGCGCATACCCTTAGTCTCTGGAGGCAGAGCCATGCGGATCTCTGTGAGTTCAAGGCCAGCCTTATCTACAAAGTGAATTCCACAACAGCTAGAGCCGCTACATGTAGAAACCCTGTCTTGAAAATTTGTTTTTCTAAAAAGATAAGTAGTTGGAGTGGCAGAGTTAATTGAAAAGTTTCAGTGATTACATTGCAGTGAGTTGTAATTCACGTCAACACCACAGTAGCATCATTGTGTCAGAGATAGAATGGTTGGTAAGGTTCTGGAGTGCCCTGCCTTGTGACAGTGCAACATGACGTCATCTGCAAAATTGACAGTCGAGAATCCAGTGTTTCCGTTACTGAGCTTCTGCCCCTCTCGGTTTACTGTTTTTGCTGCATTTGCTGCTGTCCTTGGCTGCATGCAGCTCGAGGCCGAAAGTTTGACACACCTGGCAGATCAATAGATCCATTCTTCCAGAGTTTCTTCCTGAAAGATAAAATCTGCTAAACTGAGTGTTTTGTTTTTATTTGTTCACTTAAGTTTAACTCGAGTTTTGAAAGTTCAGAGATGACTGGCACTTGGCATGTTTTGTGCAACCCTCTCCTCTTGTCTGATTCATAAGCATTGGCTATCCATTTCCATCTTCCCTTGACCCTGGCAACACTAGTCCTCTTTCTGTCTGTAAAAGAGACCATGGCATGGCTCAGAACTCAGAGGTTGAGGCAGGAGAATCTCTGAGTTCAAGGCCAGACTGTTCTACAAAGCAAGTTCCAGGACAGCCAGGGCTACACAGAAAAATCCTGTCTCAAAAAATCAATCAATCAATCAATCAATCAAACAACAAAGCAGAAAATATTGTAGAGCCAGGGCGATGGCTCAACCAGATAAAGTGCCTAATGACTAGAGTCCCTGCAACACGAGTGAAGGTTGCAGAAGAAAACCCACTCCACACAGTTGCCCTCTGATCTCTACACATCCAGGTGTCCATACACACCATACATAGTAATAATAAATAAATTTCTAAAATCATAGATGCATAGGAAATATTCTTTAAGGGTTCTACTGTAGAATATTTTAGTGCTTTATTTATTCATTCTGTGATTGAATAATATTCCACTGTATATGTAACATCTGTGTATACATTAATGCACTGCCAGGCATGTGAGTATTTTTTTCACCTTTTAGCTGTTGCAAATCATGCTGCTGTGAACACCCACTGATGGGTATTTAAATTGTTTTAGTTCTGTTGGGTGTTCTTTTGGGTTGCTTTGCCATGTGCTCATTCTTTACTTGAAGCCCTGCAGACTGCATTTTATGTTTTCCCCGGCAGTGTATGGTCCCAGTTCTCTAAGCCTTCGTCACCTGTTACGGTCTTACTGTGGCTTCTGGGCTCCTTGGCATAGTTGTGTAATGGGTGTGCAATGTCTGATTGTGTGGCACATCTCTTCTTGGGTGGGGAACACTTTGTCTTGGGTAAATAGCTGTTCAGTCCTGACCATTCTTAAGTTGTTTTTATATGTTCCGGACACTAAGCCTTTTTCAGATAATTTCTTCAATTCTTTGGTGCTTTTCACTTTCCTGATATTCTTCCCAGAGAGGCTTTTAGTTTCCCAGTTAACTTAGCTCATGTTTTTCTTCTGTTGCTTTTGCTTTTTAATGTCATGGTAAGTTTCTTGCCAGATGAAGAAACTTCTGTCTTCATTCCTTGCTGAAGGTCAGTTGGCCATAGAAGTGTAAGTTCACTTCTGGGCTTTCCATTCTCTTTTATCATGTATAGGATATGTGTATGCTGTACTGTTTTTACTCTCACAGCTTTCATAGTAAGCTTGGACTAGAGACGGGTGACTCTTCAGCTCTGTGTAGAATTGATACTGGTTTCTCATTCAGGGTTCTTTGTTATTCCACCTGAAATCTGAAAACCAAACAGTCCTTTTGTCACAGCAAAAGATAACTTTGAGTTGGTGTGTTGTTGTTGTGTAGGAACTTATATTTGCAGGCACTTGTCATACACCTTCTGTCCCTCTCCAACCCAATTCTATTCTTGGCCAGCATCTTCTATTGAACCAGGAGCTCAACACTTTGCAGTATTAGCCAGTGAGCCCAGAGGACTGGAGCTGAGGTACCCATATTGTGCAGCCAGCACTGTGCCATCTGAGCCCCAGGTCTTTAAAACTGTTGGTAGGGTATGCATTGACCCAGATTATTGTGGAGAATGTTATCATCTTGATTGTTAAGTTTCCAACCTAACAAACACAAGTATGTCTTTTCCACTTACTTAGGTTTTCTGTCATTTATGTCATGATATGTTTCAAATCCTTTTTGAAAGGTATTTCTAGGTAATTTTGTGTTCTTTGTCCACTGTTGGCATATTAAAACACACCTAGGCTGGAGTGTAGCTCAGTGACATATAGTGCTTGCCTAGTATGTGCAAGCCTCTGGACTCAGTTGTCGGCACCACACACATGTGCCCATCCGTGCCCTTTCTTGGTTTTCTGTGGAGGTGCTGATGCTCTGAAACAGTGATGATTTCTTAATTGGCTGTAGTAGGGTTTTAGTGTATATGCCTTTTTTTTTTCTTCCTCATCTTGTTTTTTTTTTTTTTTTTTTTTTTTTTTTTTTTTTTGTGTGTGTGTGTGTGTGTGTGTGTTTATGTGTATGTGTGTGTGGTGGTGGTAGTTTTTTTTTTTCCCCCACTTATTCCCAAATTGTAGCAGAGACTGAAAAGTTTTCTAAAGATGCTCTGCTGTGCTATAAACTGCTTTACATAAAGTGAGAATAGCTGACCTAACCACCTACCTTGTTGGAATTATGTGTCATAATTGGAAGTAAATCTCAACCAGACCTTAATAGGAAATTGACTGAACTATAATAAAATGAATAATAATTTTGAGCTGTCAAAGGGTTTTTGTACATCGATTTTCCTCCAGAATCATAAACTTTCAAATACAGTCTGATTCTTTGTTATTCATAAACTGTTGGATATTTTCTCATACATTTTGTAGCCAGTTTTTAAGTAGTTACACAGCAAATTGGAGTTCGTCTTAGCACCTTTAATGGGGTAGAAAATACACTTTAAAGTTCAGTCGGCCAGCAACTGTACCTGTGGCAGAAGTTCGGTTGGGGCTTTGCTTTGACTTTACTAGCTCCGTGTTGTTTGATCTTGGGAAGTAATTCTTCTCCTTGCTTGTTCTTCTCCACCTAGGATTATCATTGGCAGTGGCGTTCCTTCCTCACCAGTGGCTTCACTGCAGTCTACTTCTTAATATATGCCATACACTACTTCTTTTCGAAACTGCAGATCACTGGAACAGCCAGCACAATCCTGTACTTTGGTTATACTATGATAATGGTTTTGATCTTCTTCCTTTTTACAGGTAAGTCGTAAGTGATGGTTTTTAGTGTGTTCTTAATCAGTTTATTCTCCTTTATGAATGTTTCTGCTACTCACTGCCCCTAATTGAACTCTCAGCACAGCTCAGCATCATTTGGCACACCTGTTTGTAGCAGTGCCTCGGGAAAGTGAGATCACACAGGTTGGGCTTAGGTGTGTATCTGGTGCCATGTAACAGGTTTAGATCCCAGGCCCTGGTCAGCTACCTGATGTCGAAAGCGGTAGTGTCGTGTGTACTCTTGAACTTCACTATGTAGGAAGGGGATCTGTTGGAGGTGTTTTTGTACACAACAGAAATAACTACCCTGTAGTCTAAGGAATGGTGTCCTCAGAGTGTACATTGTGCCCCGGAAGCCTACCAGGGTGATGATGGGATCTGATCTTTGTGTTTTCACCACCTTTTCCCAAGCCTCTTGGCGATCCAAAAGGTGATTCCGGCACGCAACCTTTCACCGTACCCCTCCTCGGCATATGTCCGGTGTAAGGGTAAATATTGGAATGTTCATAATCTCCCCAATCTGTTCCAAGTACTGTGTATAGATTTAGGAGATCTTTAGTACTTTCTGTATATTACATTTAAAATGATGAAAATCAGTTGGGACAATAAACGGAAGCGCCTCAGAGAGCCATATGGTTCCCCTGTATTGCGTGTGTCTGTGCCCTACCGAGGGACATCTCCCAGAGTTCCCAAGGAAAGAATATGTTTCCACTTATGCCTTAAAAGGGTATACAGTATTTACAAGACTGTGGGAGTTTTACAGTGTAATAAAGGCTGCTATAGAGCGGAGTCCACATTCGGTTCACTGGGTGAAAGTGTAAGTTTACACAGGGCTCAAGAGCCTTTCTGCTGGAGAGCATTTCCGTGCCCCCAGTTTACAGCTGTAGAAAGTAGGTATACAAATCTAACTGATAGTTTAAAAAAAATCTTTTAAAATAATTCTTTAGTGTGTAATTTAACCATCCATTAAAGATTAAACAGCTTTGCAAGGGCTAGAGATTGTTTTGTGGTCAGAAGCATGAGCTGCTCTTTTCCTGGCACCCAACGTCAAGTGTCTCACAACTGTCTGCAAAGTAGGCCCTACTCATCTGTGTTCATGCCACATACAAATACATGATTAAAAATAATAAAAACGGAATCTATAAAGGAAATTTGCTTATTAATGAAATCGATGGGCTTGTTTGTCTACTATGCTATATTCCTAAGATACACTCTTATAATATGCTGGGAAATAATGGTAAGAAAACATTAAAAGTCTTTGTTTTTCACAGTGAAATAATTGGGTTTCTGTAAGAACAAAAACCTGTTAGATATGTTAAGAACATTGCAGTTGATGATGGTGCTGTAGCTGAGGTGTTGAGGCAGGGTTCCTTGGCGGTGCGTGGCATGATGGCACATGTAGCATGCTGTGTGTTTTGAAGCTGAGGTAGTATGTGGTACAGCACAGACAAGCTCTGCTGTAACAGTTTGGGTTAATTATGTGTTTGATCTTGAATTAATTTTTGCTCACTGTACATTTGGAACCTTTTACTCTTACCAAATTTTTCATCCCCTACATTTACTCCCATGGCCACATAGAACAGTGGCCTCAGCCTTCCTAAAGCTGCAGCCCTTTAATACAGTTTCTCATGTTGTGGTGACCTCTGACCAGGAAATTACTTTATTGCTACTTCATAACTATAGTTTTGCTACTGTCATGAATCATAAATATCTGGCATGCAACCCCCAAGTGGCCATAGAGCCACAGCACACAGTTTAAGGAATTTTTGTTGTGGCTGGTGAGATACCTCAAGGAGTAGAAGCACTTGCCACTCAAGCCTGAGTTTGATCCTCAGAACCAGTGATGGAAGGAGAGAACTAGACCCAAAAGTTGACCTCTGATCTCAACACTAAATACACATACACACACACGCACGCACGCACGCACGCACGCACGCACGCACACACACACACACACACACACACACACACAGAATCATACTAAAAATAACTTTTAAAAAACTTTGATTTAGAAGAATACCACATGTCGGGGGCTGGAGAGATGGCTCAGTGGCTAAGAACACTAGCTGCTCTTCCAGAGGTCCTGAGTTCAATTCCCAGCAACCACATGGTGGCTCACAAGCTCTATAATGAGATCTGGTGCCCTCTTCTGGCCTGCAGGGATACATGAAGACAGAACACTGTGTACATAATAAATAAATTTTTAAAAAAAGAAGAAGAATACCACATGTCTTATCACAGAAAATAGATTTGATTTTGGCCATATTTGTCCAACAACAAAATTGCCTTGAGCTTTGTTTTTGTTGTGCTGGAAGAATATCCCCGTAGCTCAAATTCTTCAGAGTCTAGACAGATGGAGGTAGCTGAGAATGAAGGCACTGTCACTTCTTCACTGTGGCCAGGAAATGGATTTGGAGTGGGATGGTGGTGCACACCTAGAATCCTATATACTCAAGAGTCCAAGACCCACATGGATGACTTAGTGAGACCCCGTGTCCGAGAGAAAAGGGTGTGTGTGTGTGTGTGTGTGTGTGTGTGTGTGTGTGTGGGTGTGTGTGTAGCTGAGTGGTGGAGTGGTTGCCCCAGTTGCAACAACAAAAAAAGCAGTAGATTTAGAGTCGGCAGTTATTTCACTATGCAGAGCCACCCATCTTGTTTCCTGCTGGGGTGTCTTTGTTCTTACCCTACTTACATCACTTGCATATATTGTAGAAACATCTAGATTCTCTTACTGCAAGTCTTTGAATACTGTTAATCCCTGGCAACTATACTTAGAAAATATCCCTTCTTATTATCTTGTGAACCTGGTAAAAATAGTAGCAGTTATAGTTTGTGATAAAAAGTATTGTTAAATGGGGGTCACGTTATGATATACTTTTCATTTTTTAATTCAGTGATGTATGTAAAAGGGAAAATAGCTGGGCAGTGATGGCAGCAGGCCTTTAATCCCAGCACTCAGGAGACAGAGGCAGGCGGATCTCTCTGAGTTCCAAGCCAGCCTGGTCTCCAGAACCAGTTCCAGGACAGACAGGGCTGTTACAATATAAGGGATTTAAGTGGTTTATATTCTTCAAAAGAAGCTCATGACTCTGTTACATTCCTGACCAGGGAGTTGGGAGTTCTCGGGGGGTTTAAAGGGTCCAGTCAGCTCGCATCTGCCTTTGGTGTAAACTAAGGAACTTGTTCTGAAAGGGACTTTTTTTATTTTCTAGGAACAATTGGCTTCTTTGCCTGCTTTTGGTTTGTCACCAAAATATACAGTGTGGTGAAGGTTGACTGAAGAAGCCCAGTGTGTCCAGTTAAAACAGAAATAAACTAAATCTTCATCAACAAAGACCTGTTTTGTGACTACCTTGAATTTTCTCAGACTTATTGGCCTAGTAATCCTTCAGAAACAGCATACTTAAGAACACCTCTTCCCATGCGCCTGTACCCACAAGATGTATTTCAACACTAAAGCGTTTGTATTGTGATTGGATTAAGTATGTATTCAGTTGTTCTCAGTGAAGGGCAAATTTAAATATTATGTGCATTTGTAAATATGATAGCTATAAACTTTTCAATACTTCTAATGGCAGATTAGAGGAGGCCATAATACTCCTGAGAGACTGGACAGTTGATTGTAAATAGGATTTTCTAGGCTCGGTAGGTGGAAAGAATTATTTTTCTTTGAAGGAAATAACTTTTTATCATGGTAATTTTGAAGGATGATTCCTATGACATGTTCACTGGGGGAATGTGGCTTTTAAAATCTTGTATCGGTTGTAATTGTTCATATCTTCTTACTCTTCTGTGTTGACTTCATTATTCCCATGGTATCGGCCTTTTAAACTATGTGCCTCTGAGTCTTTGAATTTATAAATTTGTTATCTTAATAAATATTATAAAAATGTCTTCATTGCGTCATTACCTGTGGCATATTTAAGATTCTATGAATACAAATCTGTTGACCACAGATGTTTAAAGGGATTTACATTTTTTAAAAATCTGGTGTTGCTGAATACTGTTAATATAATACTTTCTCAGTTTCCACCTAAGTAAAATTTTGGTCTTTTGAGTTTTGTCAGATCTGAATTTCCACTCTGAAAGAATGATAGATATTGTGGCCATGCCTGTCTGGTCAGACAAATGACACATTTAGAACTCTAATGCAGGCCTTATGTTGTTACTATTGATAATTTATTTTCTTGACTTATTTTCCAAAATATAGTAATTTTTTAAGTCAGCAGGATGTAGTGGCCCACCTCTGTAACACCTATGATTTGGAGGTGGAGGCCCGAGGATAGTGAGGCTGCATAGTGAGTTGGAAGCCAGCCTGGATTACAGAGCTCTTGCACACAGGGTGGGTTAGGCTCTCTCCGTGTTCTGCACATTAGCACTAGTTAGCAAGCCTTCGTCCCCCTGATTGCAGTGGTTTAATTTAGATTTCACAAGTAATTCTTGTCCTAGATTAAGAAATCACTAATACTTTTCTTACATCCATCTGGCAAGTTTGATACAGAAAACCAAGGTGGTTTTAGAGATGTAAATCTGTGTCTGTAGATGGCTTCTATATCGAGGCCTTATCGCTGGCTTCTTAAGAGAACACATCAGACATGGGCTTTAAACGTAAACTCAGATAACTGTCTCCACTCATGTAACCAGGCCTTACTGAAGAGATTGTGCGCACTGGCTAGGTGGGCCAGGTGAGCCCTTGAACCCTGGCATGGGAAGGTGAGGCACCACGGACATTGGACACTGAGGCTAGCTAGCCTGGCTTACACGCTCTCCTTTGCACTATATCTGGTACCTTTGAGTAGGTTGGTTGACCAAACAGAAAGTGTCTTATCAGCAAGGCCTCCATTCAGACACCAGGTTGGTCTTAGTGGGGCAAAGTTTTAATTTTGCTGCTGTAAACAGTTGGGATTCAACACAGCTAAACTGGCTGCTTTGATCTGCCTTTGGTATTCTTAACAAACTAGCCACACTCCACATTCACTCTCAAAGGGAGAAATGAACTCCAGGCTGGTATCCCTCGTCTATAGTGCTTGTGAGAGAAGACATTGCCTTTATCCGGTTGAAACTTCTTGGTCTCAAAGTCTGAAATCCAAAACTATGGTCAGTGTTGTAAAAGTCAGAAATGTCTCTTAGTGAAACAGTGCTTGCCTAACATACACCGAGGCCCTAGTTTAGGTTCCTAGCACCACACACAACACACCCACACACCCCCCAACACACACAGACATGCAAAACACACGCTCACACACACACACACACACACACACACACACACACACACGAATTAGGATTTCAGGTTTTCAGATTGGGAATGTTTAGCCTGTAAAAGTATTGCAAGAAAATTTGAAGGATAAGAGATGGCTCAGTGGTTAAAAGCACAAACAGCTCCTGTAGAGGATCCAAGTAATTCTAGCTCCAGAGGATCTAGCACCCTCCTCTGCCCTCTGGAGGGCACCTGCGCTCATGTGCACATACACAGATAATTAAATTTTTTGAGCTAGCCATGGTGACTCATGCTTGCCATCCCAGCCCTTAGCAAGAGGATCGCTATGAATTCAAGGCCAACCTGGGCTACAGAATGTCAGGTTGTGCCACCCCCCCCAAAAAAAGAAGCATGGAGGGATCGTTATGAAGAGTGATGGTAAGGAAGGAAATCCAAGAAGAGAGGCTGCAGCCCTGATGTGGCTTTAGGGTGAGCTGCTGTGGGTTGTTGGAGACATGCTGGTACCTGGAGCCCTTTCCGAGTGGCGGGAACCCTTGAGAATGCAGGGTCATCCATGAGTCAGCCTACGTAAAGCTTTTGTGAGGGGTCCAGGCATGTGTGAAGGTATGTTCCTGCTGGGAGTGTGCTTGATAAAACCCTCTTTCCCAAGTCATCCCTGATGTAGCTGTTCTGCAAGCCTGTCCTGTCTGTCCTCGTGCCCAACACATAGGAAGGTTGCCCACCTTCCAGGCTGTCTGGCTGTCACCAGACTCTGCCTGTCCTTCACTGCTACCTTCTCTGTGTTCAGTGATTGTCCTTGCAGTTTTTAAATATACCTAGTTTTCTGCTTGGCTTGAAAAACAAACAAAAAGCCCTCTGACTTACTTTTTTTTCTTTCCCTCCTCCTTTCGGCCATGTTGCATCCTTGGCACTCTGCTGGGAGTGCCTCTGAGGTCTCCATGCCCCCTGAGCCTCAGCCAGTGGGGACCGAGGTCCATGTTTTCCTAGGTCTTACAGCTCTGTCCCAAGAGCATTAACCTTCCACGGGACCCTGCGTAGAATCCCAAAGAGATGTCGCAGACCTGGCCTGGCCCTGCTCGTGTCCTGGCGGAGTACATGGATGTAGGCGACCGTGTTTGCCCGGTGAATGTCGGCGTTCTTCCTTTTCCATGTCTGTTCTACTCACCAGCGCACTTCAACTCTGAACCGATTCATCCTTTTCCCGCTGCAGCCACTCCTGCCCGACAGCCAGAATGGGCCTCACAGCCCTCAAGTCCAGTTTGCAGGTAAGTGAACTTCATCCCCCAAACGTCCCGGCTTCTCCCTTGGCAGAGGGACCCCCTCGCCTACTTCACCTGAGCTGGAACTTCAGGGCACCAGGACACCTCTCCCATTAGTCAACAAGGTCCAAGCATCTCACCTCCAGCTCCCGGTCTGTCCCTATCACCTCCGCCACTGGGGCCTGCGGTGTATCCCAGGACATCTGCAGCCAGATGGCTCGTCACATGTTCCTCAGATGACGCCTGCCACAGAACAGGCCTCAAGCACATGCACCCTGTGCAGCAGCTGACTTCGGTGACACCCCAGCCATACCAAACTATGTGTGCTCCCGAGCCCTTCAATTTAGGAAATTAGAAAAAGCCTTCACCGTAGTGTAACGAAACATAGTATTAACATTCTAAAACACACAGAAGTGTTTGTGGACTTAAGCCACCTTTCAGCTTCAACCATGAGAATTTTTTTCTGCTACACCGTTTATTCTAATACACTAGGGTTGGTGACCAGAAGAGAACCTGAAGGCATTTCACATACATCTGCCTCAGAGTTCTGTGTGCCATGGGTCTCATGGTGCCCAAATCACCCAGTGCCGCTGGCCTGATCCCAGTTACTCAGGAGGTAGAGAAAAGAATGGAGAGCTGAAGACCTTCCTGTGGTGAAATAGTGTCTGTAATCTAATAAAGCCACTGAAGATTAGAAAAGCAAAGCAGCCAGCCAGTAGTAGCTCTTACCTCTACCAAGGTGAAATGGAGATCCCATTTTCCCTGAGACTGGAGACAATCTCACATGAGACCCTCTGTGTCTTCCTTGTATACCTCTCTAATGCTGGGATTAAAGTCGTGAGCTCTGTTACCCCTACAGACTGTTTCACTCTCATGTAGCCCCAGGTGGCCTAGAACCCAAGATCCATTTGCCTCTGCCTCTGCCTCCGCCTCTTGAGCCCTGGAATTAAGGTGTGTGCCACCACTGCTCCACCCCTATGGTGACTAGTGTGGCTAGCTTTGCATTCTGATCTTCAGTGCCTTTATTAGATCATAAATAAAATCGGCCCTTTGATCTGAGCATTGGTAGAGGTGAGAACTCTCAAGTGGCCAGCTGCTTTGCTTCTCTGATCTTCAACTTGAGCCCCAATATCTGTCTCTGGGTCTTTATTATTCGTGCTACACCTTCCTGGGCTATTAGAGTTCAAGGCAGCCTGAGTAACTTAGTAAGACTGCCTCAAAATTAAAGCTAAAAACGAAGGCTCAGGGTAGAACATGAGAACTCTGTGTGTGTGTGATGCCTCAGGCTTAATTTTTTATTTTATTTTATTTATTTTTTAAAGATTTTATTTATTATGTATACAACTTTCTGCTTCCCTGTATATATCTGTACACCAGAAGAGGGCACCATTTCTCATTACAGATGGTTGTGAGCCACCATGTGGTTGCTGGGAATAACTCAGGATCTCTGGAAGAGCAGCCAGTGCTCTTAACCTCTGAGCCATCTCTCCAGCCCCTTATTTTATTTTTTTATTTTAGGTACATTGGTGCTTTGCCTGCATCCGTGTGAGGATGTTGGATCCCCTGGAACTAGAGTTCCAGACAGTTGTGAGCTGCATTGTGGACGCTGGGAATTAAACCCAGGTCCCTGCTCTTGACCACTGAGCCATCTCTCCAGCCCCCCCCCCCCCCAACTTAAGTTCTAATACCTTTCTCCAAAAGTCTTATTCTGGAAACAAACTAGCAACAGTTTTAACACAGGTCTGTTTTGTTGTTGGATAGGACTGCCTTACTAGAACACCAGGGATTGGATGTTAAATGACAAAGTGACCTCAAAGAGTAGGGATTTCTTCCTCAGTGCTGGGACGGTGTCAGTGGGCTCCGTTCTCTCAGACAAGATCAGGTGAGTTCAGGGTGTGTGTCTGTGATGGCTTGGTTCTTCCCTTGATGCTCCTCGTGGTGTGGTCACTTCCTGTTGACTTCCCAGGGCCTCCAGCAAGTTAAGCAAGTGCTCGGACACTGAGCTACCTTCCAGCTCCTGGTGACCACATTGATTTTTTTCTTAATGCGCATCCCTGGTGTGCCTGTCCAAATCCCCTCATAGAAACACTCCATTGTGAGTAGATTAGGACCTGTGTGAAGAGAGTTGATCTTAATTATCTCCTCACAAGCCCCGTCTCAAAATATCCTCCCAGCTGGATTATGGGGTTTAATGCTGCAGTGTAGACAATTAGGAGAGACTTTTTTCAGTCCATCACAATACACCTCATTTTTCATTTTTATAGTGTTAGGTCTAGGGGAACTAGGGGAACAACGTACAAATTCTCTCGCCTTTTTAGATATAGTTATTCTGGGGGTGGGGACCTTTGTGCTACTAGTGAGGTCAGAGGACAGACAGCCTCGGGGAGCTGGTTCTCCTCCTCACCATGTGGAAC